GCTACATTACACACAAAAGCCTGATTGCAGACACTTGTCTACTAAAAACAAAGAAATAGCAAAGTCCAGATTGTCTGTGCAATCTTTATTTGATCCTCTGTCTGTCTGTTACAAACAGTGTAATCTTAATTATCTGTTTACATGCTGTCTTTATTGACTGAGCATAATGGGTACTTTTTAATATTAGAATGAACTGGACAGACCATTATTGCACTCCTATTACTGTGAATTTACCTGATTTCCTTAATGTGAGCTTTATTCTCCAAACTGTTGTTTACATTAATTTGATGTGTCTGGTTGTAAACTACACATTAGGCTTTTTATGGAAGGCCACACTGTACAACAGCCAGGACGGTGAGGCCTGTGAGGGTCCCCATTAACACCAAGCTACCTCCCTCTGAAAAGCTGATGTTTGAAACCCAAACATCTGCTTTGGGATTTTCCACTCCCTATCTAAAGAGTTCCTTTTATGTCCCACATCTGCCACCACACCTGAGTCCCACATAGGTCCTCAAAGTCAGTGCCAGAGCCAACACCAGTGCTGTCCCCTCAAACTCCACACTATGGGGAGGAACTATCAGCCTGGAGCTGTATTCATTTCCAAATCACCTCCAAGGATATGAATGCAGGACAGTGAAGCCAAAGAGAAGGGATCCCATGTAAGCAGCACGACTATAGGGACATCTTCCTTGTGAACACAATGAAGTGACACATTTGGGAACCCTCAAGTCTTCTTTCTGGAGCCAAAGGCACAAAACAAACCCCACAAAGACATCCTTGTGGATTTTTACTGCTTCACTGGCACCACACTACAGCCATCATGTTAAAACGACCGCAATGTTCCCTTACACTCAGCTGTCCCCAACAGCCACAGTTCACTTACCTCTTCTCTATAAGTTCTCCAGTGATGGACCATACACACGTTCCTGGCAAGACATCCCGATCAAACACACAGAGCTTCAGTTTGAACTCTGTTTGTTCCAGCTCCCTGATCATCTCCTGGACAAACTGAAGGTCTTTCTGACAGTAGCAGATGAAGGCATCAAACATCTCTGTTCCATTGCCTGAAACCATTACAAATGTAGCTGTCATCTTTCACTATAAATCAAGTTAACTCCTGCAGTGAACTTTCACGAGCTCCCATGGACTTTGCCTCAGAATCAGAAGCTTTGACAGGCAAGCTCTGGCCAAACTCACAGAAGTAATTCAACATTTTAGCAGCCCAGCTACTCTTCAGCCCAGACTCCTGTCCATACCAGGGCTGGCAGGAGCTAACACACGTCTGTTTCACAGTCCTGGCTACTCCCATAAATCCACATTTGCTGGCAGGGGTTAGGGAAGGGTAGCTGAGATGCAGACATGCAAAATCAACAACATCCAGCCACAGGGAATCAAGAGGAGAGAGAGGATGGGAAGAGCCAGAGGGAGCAGAGTACACCAGAGGATGCAACTCAGAGCCCTGATGCTCTGGGATCTCACCGGGAGTTACACATCTAAAATGTCCTCATAGTTCTGGCTCCCAGCTCTCTAGTTGGGATCACTGAGACTCCAACTTTACCAACCAAAACCTTCCTGCAGGTCCTTCATCCAGCAGCACAGAATCACAGAATCATCCTGGTTGGAAAGGATCTTGAAGATCATCAAGTCCAACCATAACCTAAATCCCCCTACCATAACCTCATTTACCTGTTCAGTGCTTGTATCATGTCCCTAAGCACTGTATCTATATTTCTTTAAACACTTCCAGGGATGGTGACTCCACCACCTCCCTGGGCAGCCTGTTCCACTGTTCTACAACTCTTTCAGTAAATAAATTCTTTTTAATATCCAGTTTAAACCTCCCACAACTTCAGGCCATTTCCTCTCATCCTCTCACCCTGACATCTGCTGTCCCTCGAGCTACAAGGTGGGCCTTGTCATTTGGAAACTGTGATGTTCATGGCTAAGATGTCCCACTTGGCCACCTGAAGTCACAGACTAAGTAAATGGCCCTGTTCTCCAAAGATGTTAGTGGCTGGCAGCTCCTCCTTATTTAGCATTTATCCAAATATTAACGTGCTGTACTTTAAGGCAATGCTTCTCATCATTAAGTGCCTCAGTAGTGCTGGATGGTTTCTCACTGTGTTAGTTTGTTTCCATATCAATGTCACTTACATAGGTTTTCAAGTTTTCGTGCTAGTTAAAGCCTACTACAGTGAAAAAGTAGCTCAGGCTCTAAAAGCTGCTGAAGAAAGTATCCAATGGGCAGGCAGGTCAGTCAAGCAGAAGGATAAATGGTTGCCAGGTCAATCAAAGTGGGGGTTCTGCTTTAGGGGCACAGCACTAGCCTGGGGGTCTCATCAGGCAAAGCTGCCATCTACAAACACCTGCATATTGTCTGTGGACATTTGGGGAGGGTTAGTGAGGTCCCCATGTACAACAGAGGTGGCACCCAAGTTGGACTAACCAGGGGAGCACCTGAAGAGTGAGCTGAGCTATCTCCATTCAGCCTCAGCTGCTGCTGCCTCCATCACACGGCGTTAGAGGATGTTCACCTCCCCAGCTGCACACACAGAGCACACACAGCCCAGCACACACAGAGCACACACACACAGCACACACAGCACACACACACACACTGCACACGCAGCCCAGCACACACACACTGCACACACACACTGCACACACACACTGCACACACACACTGCACACACACACCCCCACGGCACATGCAGCCCAGCACACACACACACACACACAGCACACAGCCCAGTACACACACATTGCACACACACAGAGCTGCACGGGCACGTGCAGAGCTGCACAGAAGGCCCAGCAAACACCCCCCCACACAACTGCCTCCCCCTCTCCCCTCACTTCACACCCCCCACACAACTGCTTCCCCTGCCCCCTCACATCACACCCAGGCAGAGAAGTGTCTCCTCTCCCCCAGACTCCCAGCTGTACTTCAGGTCCTGCTTCCTCTTTACCCAGGCAGCTCCAGCTGCTGCAGACAGGGCAGTGTACTTCCCCTCCACTCCAACCCCCTCTGCTTTCAGCAGCTGCTGCTCTGTGCCACAGGACCTATTTCTGGAAAGTCCCCTCCCGTGTGCACCCAGTGGGCTCTGTGCCAGCCTGTCTCTGGGTGCAGCATTCCCAGGGGCTGTGTTTTCCTCTCTGCCCTAAGGATAAATGAAAACGCCTGCAGGCGACCAGCTGAAGCATTCTGGCCTAGGCTGTGAAGCATCACAGAGAGCAAACGTTTTCTGCACTTCCCACAGAGAACTGCTGGAGCTGAAGGCCAATTCCAACCAGAGGCATCAGGCAGCAATGGCATGGTGGGCACTTACCATATGGATCATCCCGGGTGGTGATGCCCATCAGCTCCAAGGTCTTGGGCACGCTGCTGTCTACTGCTGGCACCTGGAGCGGCTGGTTGGCTTGCTCCTGCCTCCTCTGCAGGTACTTCTTGCAGTCCTCCTCTGCAAAAAAGCACACAACCACTACATGAGGCTCCTGTGATGGTGGTTTTACACTGCTGGAGGGCTCTAGAACAGGAATTGATATTTCATGGGTATCGGAAGGAAAACCCTCTTCTGCTTTTTTAAGTACTTAAAATTTCCCTAACCCCTTTTTCTTTACCCTCATGATGCTGCCTCCACCACCTTCTCTAGCAATTAATTCCTGTGTAAATAAGTACTTAATTCAATTTGTTTTAAACCGATCTCCCCCTAGTACATCCCAGGACACTTGAAGCAGCATGCATCATAGACATACCAGGTCTCAGCTCTACTGTCTGCTCTCATCATTATGCATTTTGGAGTACTTAAAATACTAATTTAAGGGGGAATTCTCATTCAGAAGTCTTCCTATCATCTTTTACTAATAAATGTAGACACATGAGCTGATTCAGACCACCAGCCTCTGTCAACCAGAACTGCAGGCGAGAAGGAGTACTCATCCACTCACCACGTTCAGGAGAACTATGTAAAGTTCTAAGAAGCCCCTGAAAAAGGGTTTGTGTTGTGCAACAGCCCATGAAGAGCTTTGTTATCCCAGGGACAGCAGGTTTGTGCCTCCCCTCTGGGACAACTGAAGGGCAAGCAGCCCTGTCACATCTGCTGCTGTGAACTCCCCAAACAGGACAGTGATGGGATCTATTATAACCAGATTTTGTTTGAAAATTAATGATAAATCTAAACGTTAAGTTTTTATGGTAGTGGCAAGAAACTCTGCAGCCTCTGCCCCTCTGCAACATGCAATTACAGAACTTGAAAGTAAAAGGAGATTTGAAATCAGGAATTAAGAGAAAGATTAAACTCCCTAGAACTTTCTTTTACTTGATTTAGAAAAAACCAAACACAACAATTATCAAGCAGAAAAAGACTGATCACTCGGAGGGTTAGGCTGGCACAGCTACAGATATCACTGATGCAACAGCAGAAGCAAAGGATCTTCTGGAATTGCAGGATGCAGTGGGAGCCTGGTAAGCACTGCTGTAATGAAAGGCCTGCAGGCAGCACAGCTCCTGGGGCCCCATCCTCTGCTTCTCACAGTCTAGCATCTCATGACTGGATTATCCTCCAGATAATAAAGTGTCACATCTGCTCAAAGCTTTTCCTGAGGCATTCCTAATCTGCTTCCCCTTCTTCCCTAATCCTGCAGTGGAGAGAACAATCAGACACATTCTTTACCAGCCAGAAGGTTGAGGTTTCAGGTCTTTCCCCACTAAAGCCCAAACACGGGTCCCACCTCTCTGCCAGCTGCCTTTTTCCATCAGGTGTCCACATTCCCTGTCAGGTAAGTCAGTGTCTTTGAAACCATGATCAAAACTGCTTTCAATTGACCAAGAGGTTCAGAAGATCCATAGGAAGGACTGGCACTGGCACCTTCTATGTGCCCTGGTCGCCTAGGTAGCCAGGTTCACAACCCAAAATATCAATGAATATGGAGGAATAGGCAGTTATTTAAAGGCTTAACAACCCTAGTGCTCAAAACACTGAAGTGTATTTGCTCTGTCTTCTCTCCTTGCTTCTCCCAGCTGCAAAAGCAGCAGCTATGCTCGCCTGACCTGCATTTTTCTAGATTGGTGCCCAGAGCTCATGACCACATCACTCATGGCTGGCACACACCACTCGTTAATGTCAGTGTTCTCCTGATTCATCAAGTCAAGCTTCTGCACACACTTGTGATGGCATCGTGCTGTAATCCCAGACCCCACTTCTTCCTACAGGATAAAGCTGAGATCTGGCCAGAGCTGATGGTTTTATTACAAGCACAAACTGGGAGCTCCATCAGAATGGAACTGCCAGTAGGTCCAATGTACCTGAAAGGATGAAAGACATTCACTGATTTGACATGGATTAGTTCCCAGCTGGAAACAGTGCCTGACTGTACAAGTCAATGAGAACAAACGACAGTCACAGATCACTTTGAAGGCCCATCAAGAAAAAGGATGCAAACCAACACAAAGAAGCAGGAAGAAGCTCCTCCAAGTGAAGTTGTCCCACTCCACTCAGCACCTAACACAGTGCAGGCTTTACATTCTTCTAAGGGTCAAACAAAAGGTATTGGAAAGAAAGAAGAAAAACATGAAACCCAAAGTGCAAAATTATTAGCGTGATGTGAAGAGAGAGGAAACAGACCCAGTAACTGTGAAGCAGCAAAGTAGCACTTCTACAGCAGGTCAGGAGGAACTAAAAATAATTGAGTTTCCACAGGAAAGAGTTAGCACAAACCTACTGACACAAAGAGCTTCACAACCCTAAAGATGATTGTAAAACAAAATAAGCTGCTGAGAAAGATCACACTTAGGGCAGATCTGCTGGGATGGAAAAGCTGTATCCTGCCAGTGTAACAGGGGAGCTGTTAAACAGCCCTGCTATAAGGGCAGCCTAACGTGGAACTACCTGAGGAGGCAGGAGAGCCCAGTTTTCAGCATCCCAAGCATAGCCTGGAAAGGAGCACATGACAAGAAGACAGGGAACTGGTTCTGCAGCAGGAACCACAAACCAAGCATGTCCTCTAGAGCTGCACAGCACCAACCAGCTGTGTTTAACAGGGATGCTGTGTCCCAAAGGAGCTTCACTCCTTTGCCCACACAAAAGCATCAGGTGGTTCTGGAGAGATTCCAGTGTCCAAGACACCTGTTATGGGCTAGCAGGTATGACACTGGAGCTCCAAATGACCTGTGTCCATCAGCAGGTAGAGGCTGTGTGGGATATCCTGTCACCTCTCAGACGACTTGAGAAGCCTTCGTGTGGGCAGCCAAACTGTGCCCCAGATCTGCACCTCCTATAATGAAAGCACAGACCATGGAAACCTCAATACTGATGTTTTCTGCTTCTGTGCTGAATCCCACTGCAGGAGTCCTAACAGTGTACAGACCTTGGTACCAGGAAGCACTGTGCATAGCAGCACAGGCTACTTACTGTCCATTTCCTCTCTTCTTAGCAGTGCAAGTATCTCTGAATCTTTCAAGAGCTCGGAATGCTGGCAAGAGGTCACAGGCCCTAGCTGCAAACTTCAGCCAAAAATAATGAAAGAGAGGAATGGCCATGCTGGGTCTGGCTGAGGGTCCACCTACCCTAGCATCCTGTCCCCAGAAGCAGAAGCCTAGGGGAGAACATAAGAATAGAACAAGCACACAGCAATACTTTCCTAAAATAATCTCTCTTTTAGGTATAATCTACAATCTGGTTTTATCATCTCTCTTTTGTACAATTTGCAGTTCAGGAATTTCCTGGGCCACAGGCAATATTTTTTTGTGTGTTGAGCAGCCCTCAGCAGGTTTTTCTTCCAAGAACTCAGCCATCTCCTCTTATCAGTGTGACCTACTGCCAGGTCAAACATGACTTTTGTGATGCCCAGGTCCCTCCCACTCACTCCACTGTTGTCTGGTTCAGGCTCTCACAAAAACCAACCACCACATTCCCTTCCAGTGGGCCAGGTCCTGAATTCAGGGCCAGAAGCAGCCTTGGTGATGCTCAGTGTTTTTGTTTGCCCCAGCTCCTTTGCACAGCTGGAAGCTTCTGCTGTTTGTCAGGAACCTCTGAGCAGTGGATCACGAAACACACCAATTTTATTTTTTTTTCCTTCCCAAAGCCAAGTCTTCAGAGTGTGTTTTGAGTAAGAAGAACCACAGGAGCATGGGAAAGTCCTCCATCCCTTCTTGGTCAGGCTGTCTACATAGATGAATTTCTTCATTTATCTCCGTGAATAACAGGAAATAAGATTTGTTATTTCTTCACCACTAACCCAATAAACTATATGATACAACTCAGGACTTCAGCAGCCTCTCTGCTTTTGGAAATCCTTCCGCAAGGAACTTCCCCTTCTGATGACAGTTCTGATAGCTGCCTTCCCTTTGAACTCCTGGGACTGTGAAGAATACGAAGAATCTATAAAGAACAAGTTATCAAAACAGCACCGGGGCCTCCATGTTTACTGCTCCTTGCTGACTCTATCTCAGTTCTTTCAGCCCAAGGATCCCCTCCTTTATGCAGTTCCACACACCTTTCACCTCCCTGCAAGTATCTCCCTATCACACCCCCCATCATTTTCACACTGTCTCATGTCCACACAAGTGGTCTCCTGGCTCATCTGGCCCAAGGCATCCCTTGACATGCAGAAACTTTATTATTGAAGGATTCAGGTAAGACAAGGGATCCAGATAACTTTGCATGGTTAGCAGAAATAGAGTGTGCTTCTCCTTCCTCTCCTGGAAGCCAAGCAAGGCTCCTATGAAAACACCAGTGCCCAGCACAGGGGGACCATCCCTGCCCTGCTCCTGCTGGCCACACTATTGCTGATACAAGCCAGATGCTGTTGGTCTTGGCCACCTGGGCACACTGCTGGCTCATATTCAGCAGCTGTCGACCAACACCCCCAGGTCTTTTTCTGCAGGACACTTTCCAGCCACTCTGCCCCAAGCCTGGGGCTGTTGTGCCCCAAGTCCTGGACCCAGCAGTTGGTTAAACCTCATACAATTGGGTCTTGGCTCATTGATCCAGCCTGCCCAGGTCCCTCTGCAGAGCCTTCCCACCCAGCTTGGTGTCAGCTGAATACTGAGGGTGCACTTGACCCCCCTCTTCCAAATCACTGACGAAGATATTTAAACAGAACCAGCCCAAAATACTGAGCCCACCACTTCAACAGGACCCAACTCGTGTCCCCACAACATTTTGGGCCTGGAAAGGGCTCACAGAGGGATGGGCAGGCTGGGCCTCCCTCCTGGATGAGGGGAAGGGGGAAGGGAAGGGAAGGGAAGGGAA